GGGGGGGGATCGATCTGCGGAGTTGCGCAACTTGGGTTGGTACGGACGAGAACCGGAGTGAACATCGTAAGTAATACTACTCCACTAACAACTACCGTAGGTAAATCTCCAAAAATGCACACACATCAAAGCCGTATTATTACCCTCGGAGCTACTGTGACCTCATCCCTCAAGTCTCTTCCAAAGTCAGCACTCCCGCAGCTATCGTCCCTAATATAGCTGACTATGTATTTGCAATGAAAAGTCCAATCATATTGATACCCCGTATGACCATTACCGTCCTGATTGGATTTAGTTACAGGAAGAGCTATTCCTTTAAAGGGTCTTAGATCGTACCTTTAGGTCATTAAGTTGAAGAGTATAGAGGAGGGCGTCGTTGACCATCATACGCAGGAGGACCGTCTTCTGCCCGAGAGGCTTCTTCGCATTGAGAAGAGATAGATTGTTCGGGACTTTGGTTGTCTGGGTCTTCTGGGTCTTTTTTCTCTACTCCTTTAGCTCGTTCTTGTTGGTCCTTTTCCTTCTCTTTCTCAGCTTGTTTCTTTTGTTGGTCCTCTTCCTCCTGTTTCTCGGCTCGCTTTTGTCGATCTTGTTCTGTTATCTGCTTGTATTCTTTCGCGATTTTCTGTTTGTGTTTCTTGTCTTCTTTCTCTATTCGTTCATATGCTTCCTCTAGCCATGACTCTACCATCGGTTCTTCGTCCTGGCTCCAGAGGTGTACGACGGCCATAGTTGGTAGAGGATATCGTTGAAGGCGAGCGTGAATATCTGGACCAAGTACACGCACCCTGCCCACAAAGGGTCTTAAATCTAGCGCCGTAAGAACTGTGAAGCGCCAGCTACGACACAGAGAGACGATACTAGGTGGCGGGAAGGGGAGTCCTTTTGTGCTGGAGCGTTGTCCCAACAACGTGGGGGCTGGATAGAGGGACTCGCACTAGCTCGCTGGCACTAACCAAACCCTAGGCGTAATGATTTGATTGGATACTGCACGGTGTAGTATGAGGGTTAGAATCAGAACTGGTGAATCCAGCCGGTCGCGAAAAAGGAGGGAATAGAAACATGGCGGTGAGTGTGTATGGGACTTGGCTGGCGAAACTAAAATATACCGCTTAGCATCGTGTGTCCGTGCCCAATAAGGAGAAGGTTTAACGCCCGATCGCGAAGGCTCTACTGTGCGTCTGAGCTCCGGACGGTTGAGTCCGGCCACTACTACGCGTAATGAGCCGAGGGGATCCTAACAAAATGGGAACTCATGCACCCTGGAAGGGGTTCTCGCCAGTATGTGGTGCCCCGTTATCAGACGGGTTAAGTAGCTTTGGGGACGAACATCAATCAGGATCAACTCTCACGCATGCTACGGGGGGCGGAGGCTTCTAGCTGACCCTGAGTGTGCGTCGGCGAACACGCTACGAGCAGGGTTGAACTAAAGGCTTTCACACCAGGGACCCCGCTGGCTGTTGTGTTCTTGATGCGTTTACCTATCCACGATCTCGCCAACGTCATTTACGTACGCCTCATTCATTAGCTGTGACGTGTGACGTGTCAAAGGTGGGTGTGTGAACCCTTGTTTATGCGCCCACCTACAATACCTTTTTCCGTTCACCGGTTTGTGAAACGGAGCCGGTAGCCCCTACGATCTTCTGTCCTAGTATCTGCAAATAGCCAATTTGGGCGACTAGATTGGTGGACTGAACCTGTCGCCAAGGCGAGAAACGTGCCTACCGCATCTCGCCCCACAATCGTAGCGTAAAATATCAACAGTCAGCGACCCAACTATGACGAGGGTGTAAACCTAGCCCAACTGCGCGGATGAGGGCTATACGAACGAACACAACTGGGAGGAAATACTCTTGTTGGGGTGTTGATCACAGGACCTCCACGCGATCTTCTCGATTTTATACCCGGGATGTTTTACACCCTCCCCATTTGTTATCAAATAACCTGACATGACTATACGAGACGAATGAACACTTCAGGCTCCCTCATAGTGAAAGAGGCAGGGTTGTAAGCATCCTGGCTCTGGCTCTGAGAGGA